GCACCAGGGAGGCATGGGAGCACCAGGGAGCACCAGGGAGGCATGGGAGCACCAGGGAGCACCAGGGAGGCACCCACACACAGGGGGAGGGCTCCTTGGCCTCCACCCTTCTCTGCCAGGAGGCGGCATTTCCAGGCCAAGGGCTGGGGGCAAGATGCCACCCCAGAACACAGGGGAACCCCAGACAGGGCCATGGGCAGAGGGAGGGGAAACCACAGGCAGTCCACACCACGCCCGCGACTGAAGCTGCCGCCTGTGAGCAGCGTGGTGTGAGGACTTCTCGGGCCTGGTGATGAGTGGAACTCTCTGACCCTCAGTGTCCATGTCTCCCGATTCCACGACTCTCGTCCAAGTCCTTGGGTGTCCACGGGGCACTGCTGACTTCTTCCCCACTGACCGCCCAGAGGAGGGGGCGGGGCTGCGGGCCACACTCTGTGCTCTGGCGCCGCCTGCAGGCTCCCAGCAGCAGGCACAGCGGCCCTGCAGAAGGAGCCGCATCGTGGTGGGCTGGTCTGCGGGGGGCGCTCAGGGGCCAGGGCTGGGCACATGTGGCGGGGGAGCCCCGGCCCCCTCCATCCTGGACACCACCCCTGTTCCCCGGGCCAGTGCCACAGCCGAGAAGCACTTCTCTAATCCAACCCTCCCTTCCCTGGGAGGTTCTCAAACTTGGTGACAGGCCTGGCGTGGGCCCTGCTGCAGCAGGTCCCTGTGGGTGGAGACATCCTGGACCTTGCTCCAGGCCAGGTTGCTGGCCTGGAGCTGACCAGCAGGAAGTGCCCCTCCTCCCACGTTCCCCCTGAGGGGCCTGGCGCCTGGGTGGCGTGGGCTCCCATGTGTGGGCACCTGGGTGGCGTGGGCTCCATGCTCTTCACACCTCCCACGGGTGCACATGTGATCACACAAGTGTGCGTACGCCACACATGTGCCCACGCCTCACAGGCACTGGCCAGCCCTCCGTGACAGTTGTGCTCCCAGAATCCCTGGTTGGATTGGCCACCCCTCACCTCTCCCATCACTGTCTAGTGCCTGTCCCTCCGTCCCTGTTGGGATGTGGAGTTCGGCCCTGGCCCCTCTCTGCTGCCCTTGCCCTGAGTAGGGGCCGCCTGCCCCTCAGATCGCCTGTTTACTGTCCAGCGTTATGGAAAGCGAGCTGACCCCTGCCCTAAGCCCTCTTAGTATGACAGTGGTCAAAATGTGCATCTCCGAGTCCATGAGCTGTGGTCTCTGCTCAGGTGACAAGGAGAAACATTAAGTGAAAGACACAGGAGATGCTGGAAGGAGCGTGTGGACACTTGCTGCCCAGTGGGGAGGTCCTCCCAGAGTGAGCTCCAAGACGGGGGTGCTGGCGCAGGCAGAGATGCTGGCGGCTGGGGCGTGGGTGCCTGGCGTGGAGGCCTGGCACCCGGCCACCTCTCGCCAGGTTTCTGACGTGGCGCTGCAGACCCTCTGCGCTGCGGCTCAAGACGCTGGAGCCCTGCTGTCCTGTCCTGTCCACCTGCCTAGCGCGTGTCCTTGGCCTGGGGCCTGTCTGGTCACCCCTGCAGTGTAGCCCCATCCTCGTCCTGGGGTCCTGGGTGGCGTTCCCCATTAGAGACCACACAGAGAGCCCTGCCTGGCGCCTGCCCAGGGAGCCCGAGGGTGCTGGTGAGGCTGCTCGGGTGGCGGTCACCAGGGTGAGGCTGGGTGGTGTTCAGTGGGAAAGGTGGCACTGTGCGGAAAGTCCACCTGGTCCTGCCCAGTGGCCCGAGGCAGGACACCTCTAGCACTTCCTGAAGTGTCACCGCATGCCTGACCCAAACCAGGACCAGGGCTGCTGGACCAGGGCTTTGTCCTCCAGGACGCTCATCCTGTGTGCTCGAGGGCAGTGTGGCTTAGCCCCTCCCTGCCCCCAGCCCAGGTGTCTGTGGTGGGTGGTGCCTGGGTGGCCTCCCCAGGCACTGGATAGGGATGAGAGTTTCCTCCTGGGTCTTCTTGCCACTCGGAACCTAGCCAAGAGAGGCAGCAGGATCCGGGCCTCTCGCACCGGCCGGCGGGTGACCTGAGCAGCCTGTGTGGCTGAGGAAGCCCTCCCGGGCCCCCCTCGCCCTCCTGAGGTGCTGGGGTTGGGCTCAGGCGCTCCAGGCTGGGCGTGGGGCCAGCAGGAGTCTGGGTCTCTGCACCCAGGTGCCTGCCCCAGGAGCCAGGGTGACCCCTCACCCTCTGTGTCTAGGGAATGATCGCAGAGCTGACGGTGCGTGGGGACCCCCAGGTGAGCCCCCTGCGCTGCCTGGACCAGGAGGACGATGACGAGGATGGGGTGAGTGACCACGGGACTGGGACAGGTCCCCATGGGTGGTGGGGCTGGGGGAGGTGGCCCTGCCCTGGGGTCCCAAGTGATGTGCTGGGGAAAGTCCCCCGAGATGTGCATTGGGTGCCAGGAGCCGGGGACAGCTTGTCCTTGCTGCTGGCCTTGAGCTTCCCACTGGTGACCACGGAACACAGAGCAGACCTCAGGATGCCGTGGGGAGCCCCAGCAGGTCACTGGCAGCCTGGAGGGTGCAGCTGGGCTGCGCCCAGACTCGCAGCACCTAAGGAACAACCCCATGTGTCCACTCCCCTGAGCCCGGCCGAGGCTGGCGGTGGGCAGACGTGTTACCACTTCACGGCCGCGTTTCCATGTGTGTGTGATGAAGCTACTGCTTTGTTCCCGGAGGGAAGTCCAGGATGTGGTCGGATCTTAGCCGGTGGCCAGGACAAACGGCTGCTCAGGCTGTGGGCACTCAACCCCAGCCTTGACACGGAGGTCACTGGTGGGCCCAGATGCTGGGTTAAGTTCACAACACCCTGGCAGAGAGAAGGGCCACCCCTTGGGCCTTCCTGGCCCAGCCAGGGGCGCCGTGGAGAGCAGAGGCCGTCCAGTGCAGGACTCTGTTCAGAGGCCAAGTCCACTCCGTGCTTGTCGGCCTGGGCAGGCAGTGGAGGAGGGCTGCTCCTGAGCACCTGCCTGCCCCTGGTTTCCTTCCCGGCAGCCACAGGATGGTGGCCAGGCGGCAGGAAAGCTGTGGGTCCTAGCTGTCCTCTGCAGGATGGTCCACTTGGTCAGATTAGACACGTCTGCCTGACCAACAGGCGGACACTCAAATGGCCTTGTGGCTTCCAGGCCTTACTGGGCTGGGGTGGGCTGTGGTCACACCTCCTTCTTCGCTTCCCCACCATCTGCAGGCATCAGGAGACTCTGGAAGTGGCCTCGAGGAGGAGGACCAGCTTCGCAGGGAGGGAGCGGTGAGTAGCTGCACAGGTGGGACCTCCTCCTGGGCACAGGGCAGGCCTCTGGCCCTGCCCGGCCCAACCAGCAGTAGGGGGCATGCACACCTTGGCATGATTCCCCATGTGCTCATGCTAATGGGGCATGCCGAGGGCATGTCCACTGGCCTCCATGCTCCAGAGGTGCCCTCTGGCCCTGGTGAGGGGCCCTAGGCCCGGCCCTGGTCACACCC